TTTAAAATATTGATTTCTTAATTTTGGCTTGGAAAAGTGGGGGTCGTCTTGTACATGGGGGCGTCTTATTGATGGAAAAATATGGTAATTCACATTTTGGTCTGAGACAAAGAGGTAGACATTCATTGGCCTCCAGTTAAAGAGATTAGCAGATTCTTCTATATAAGAACATACGGTCACAGTATGTCTACCTAGCAGTAGCTCTTGTGTTAGGCAGAACAAATATTTCAATGAATCTTCTCAAAGCCTGGAACCCACAAAGATGCACGCGACTCAGCATATCACTGCTCTTGATGCTTTAAAAATTAATTGCTTAAAATAGATTGAATTTTAAAATTTGCTTAAAGATGGCTGATATATTTTTCAACCCATATCCTAATCAGTGTTGGAAATCCAGAGAAACATGTCTGTCTTATCTGACCAGGTTAACCTTTTATCTTTGCTGTAAAAGATTCCAGACTTTGCCTCTTTCTTAAATAGCTTTGAATTTCTACCAAGTCTTTGCTTACACAGAAAACCTCATACAGTAAACCAACTCCATGTTAAATCCTTGTTTAACCTCTTCATATAAGTAATTAACACAGTACATTCAGCATTAATATTACTGTGTTGTTCATTCCCTCTGTTTTTTTATGTTAGGGCTACACATTGATTATGTGCCATCAGGTTGGGGTCTTAATAACCTCCAGGATGAAAAGCTCCAAATATTGAGGCCTATATGGCCAGGCAGGGACCAGCCATGCACCAAGGGGAAGTATCAGCAGATACAGACAACATATGATAGCCTGACAACATTTTAGCCTAGTGTGATATTCAAAACAAAGCCATGTCATTAGGCTACAATTCAGTGTGTTGTACAAACCCAGAAAATGAGGTTATATTGTGTAACCTGTGATTTAGGTAATCATGGGTTAACACATCCTGTAATCAAAGCCTTCACTCAAAAAAGTCTTTAGGAAAAAACAATTCTAAGGAGGGCTCCCTACTCAAAAAAAAAAAAAATCTAGCCAATGAAGTATATTTTTGCTGATTCCCAGTTTTAGGGCAAGGGTAATATTCTATGTTAGATTTTTGTTGTAGATCCTTCTGACAGGCAATGAACAGGATATGTTTGGGATAGGACTGAATAGGCAGTTACGTGTGCCCCCAGAACAGAACGTGTCACATCTCTGCTCCACAAGCTGCATTGGTTGCCAGTCTATTTCCAGGTCCAATTCAAAGTGCTGTTTTTGACTTTTAAACCCCTACATGGCATGGGGCCGGGTTATTTGAAGGACCGCCTCTGCCTGATTATCTGCACATCCCACCAGATCCAGCAGAGAGAGCATGCTGCAGCTCCCATCATAGGGAGTTTCATTTGGCGGGCCCTAGGGGGCTGGCCTTTTCTGCTGTGGCTCCTGCTTTATGGAACACCCTTCCCCCCTGAAGTGAGGCTGGCATCATCCCTTTTAGCTCTCTGGAGGTCCCTCAAGACCTGGTTGTGTCAACAGGCCTGGGGACCCCAGGGGACTGGAGAAATATTGAGATGGCTCCTGTGTGATTAACACCTCCTCTTTGCCTAATCTCTTTTTTGTTTTTAGTTTTATGCCTTTTATCATTTTAAAGTTTTTAATATTAATACTATGAATATTAAGTTGTATATTTTGTTTTTGACTTCACTGTACACTGCCCAGAGCCATTTGAATGTGAGATGGGCGGCTATATAAAGATGGTTTTAAATAAGCTGATGAAAGTAGCATCCCATCTGTTTTTTAAGGCCTCTGATGGGTCAGATTTCAAGTTCAAGAAACAGTGACTTGCACAAAGTTCAGACTATGACCTATGAAATCATGGCAGCCGCGCCCCTACCAGGCTGCCTGGCTGCCTGCATCACTTGCAGTGTCACCTGAGAAAGAACAGAGAAGCAAAGTCTGTGTTTGGCAGTCAACTTCCTGACCTTGAGAATATCCCCCCTCCATCCTGACCCCAAAAATAGCAACAATGGGTTGCCCAGGAGAACCATCCGTATTTTGGTGACTTCATCAGCCACTACACAATGTCTATGTTAACCCCAAATCTCATGGCAAATGTAGCAACCAGCACTGCCAACATCACAGAAAAGGCCAAAACAGGCCACTATTAAGTGGCATCAGAATAAGAGGAGCAAATACAGGCAGGAAGAAGTGTGGAACAGTGAACATTTGGAAAAACACAACTGAATGAGTGGTCTGGATTCATGAAAGCAGAGACATAGTCTGTTTATGCAACATACAAAGCTACAGTTTCCTTAATCATGGTTTATTGAATAAACCATAACTGTATGAGCTCTTACAGCATGGTAAACCAAAATGTTGAGTGTTTGTTCCTGGCTTAGCATGTTTTTATTTCATTATTTGCTAGATTTCTACCCTGTCTTTTCTTCAGGAGCTTGAACTAATGTACATAGTGCTCCCTCCTCTAATATTCCCCCACAACAGCTCCTCTGTAAAGTAGGTTGGACTCAAGAGTGTGTGACAGGCCCAAAGTCACTTAGTGAGTTTCAGTGGCTGAAAGTGCATTTGTACCTGCATCTCCCTTATGCCAGTCCAAGTTTAACCACAACATGTTGTGTGAACCTAGTTAGTGTCATAACTGTCCTCTATACAGAGTTGGTCTCTTCCATCTTCTCCTGAAGAAATTCTCCTCATTATTTGAGAGAGTCATATCCTATTACAAAAAGATTTGACCAGTGCAGTGCAGAGAAATTATCGATACCTGAAGTAGACCTGAGGAGAACAGAAAAGTACTTGCATTCAAAAGGTCTCCATTTTAGACATTAGTATCTCTGGTTAACTATTGCCTGAAATTTCACAATATCCAAATCACACCCATTTGGATAACATTCAGCTGGACAAAGCCATGGTTTGTAGTCCTAGACAGCTTACTAAACTCATATACGGAAGTAAATCTGGAACTTGTTCATGCATTACTTCCTTTTGGATATAAGAATCGAATACCAACGACCACATTTCTATACCTACTCCCAACACACAACGGGCATCTTCCTATTATGAGCGTTATAAGATGCCTGACTTGGTTATTGAGTCTGCTGAATATCATACGTCATAAGCTGAACAAATGACTGGATTCACACAATATGTTAAACTATTTCAGACTAGCTAGACTTAGCATGTTGTATGAATCCAGCCACTAGGTTTGTAATTGATCTAATTTAAGCATGTTGGTAAGAACACAGCTGTTAAGCAGCATTTCCTTCCTCTAGAAGATGCATGACCAATTAAATAGACAGTTATTCTGTTATTATCTCCAATTCCTTGGAGATAAATATTTCAAATAAATACTTTCAAAGGATTTCAACAACCAGCACATCAAACTTTGCCCTGAACTTTTCTTGTGAACATATTTAAATTGTGCTTTCCCCAATTTAATGTTCCCAGATTGATGGGTCAGAAGTTCCTCATCCCCAGCCAGCATCTCCTTTGCTATGGCTGGGGACAGTTGCCATTTAAAAAAAAACTCAAGAGAACTGATTTATTCACTTACCTTTTCTTCGTGTTCCTTCTCTTGCCTTTTATTATTCTCTAGATAAATCCAGCAAATTGACATTCATGTAGAAACAGCAAGGAAAGAAAAAAAAAATATCCATTTTTTCATGTGACCTAATTCTACAATCAAACCATATTTGTAGTTTAGAACCAACCCGGCAGAATATAAGGTTTGATCAGATTCAAGTCAGGGAGGAAGTTTTAAAACAATCACAAAAAGCTACAAAATGAAAATGAGGAAACAAACAAAATCTCAGAGAGTTCCTCCCTTCCAAAATCTTATGGCAGGTGTCACTTTCCCCTAATTCTAAAGTAAAGCTTTCATAATGCAGGTAATCAAAATCCTAATGTCATTTCTCTTTTCTTCTTTTCCATGGAGACTAAACTTTATCAAGGTACAAAAAAATCTGCCAAGCCTCAACTTCTTTCTGAAGTTCTTCCTATGCTGCTGCTCTCTACGCTCAACCGGGAAGACCAAAAACACGCCTCCTGGATTAGCTTTTGGGCGGGATAATTAACTGGAAAGTCAGCTGCTCCAAGGCAAAAGTACACCTGTTAACTCTTCCTAGGTCTTGCTTGGACTACCACTTGCCTATGGAAAACTATGGTTCATGCAAATATTAGTCAACTGGGATATCCTTTTTTAAAAAAAAACAAAACCATTTTTAAAGCCTTTGTGTTACACACTTCAGTTGATCATTTACTGCCTCCTGAGCCAGGAAATTAATCCAGAACAGGAGGAGACAGTTCTGTAGATGCTGACAGAAAACTTTCCATACTCACCAAACTACAACTATTCCCAGAATGAATGGAGCAGGCTCTTGGGCTCTTTAACTCTGCTCATTCATCTATTTTTTTTTAAGTTCACAAGCAACACTGTACTTCAGAGTAACCACAAAACTTGAATCTGCGCAACCTGCTAGGCTAAAATGTGGTTCGTTGGTTTGTGGTGCAGCGTGTCTAGCAACCACAACCTAAACCTGGTGGATATAAGCCGTGCAGTTTCAATCAATGAGATTCACACCTAACAATCTCTTGATAGCAAATGCATTCTCAAACTGGGGGTCCTTGCATTGACATAATTGTGCCAGCTGGGCTGTGGGAGAGTGTGTATATGTGAGGAGGGGTTAGAATACGAAAGGTTCCAGAAGTGTTTTAAACATTTTTTTTAAAAAAAAAAAGCTGTAAAGGAATCTAAGAACAGCGAAGTAGCCACAATAGTTGATTTGGAAGGAAGGAAGGAAGGAAGGAAGATATTATTTTCTCCTTCCTTCCTTCCTTCCTTAGATATTATTTTCTCCTTCCTTCCTTCCTTCCTTAAAAAAAAGCTGTAAAGGAATCTAAGAACAGCGAAGTAGCCACAATAGTTGATTTGGAAGGAAGGAAGGAAGGAAGGAAGGAAGGAAGGAAGGAAGGAAGGAAGGAGAAAATAATATCTGGAAGAGTCATAAATTAGCAGATAGGCTGGAAGATAGATAGGCGGAAACACTGCATTCCACACAATATTGGCTGAGTTCCCACAACGCTAATCTAATGAATCATAGGTTTTTAAATAAATACTTGCTTGCATTTGTACAATACATTGAATCATAAACTGGCTGGGTTTGCAGAATGCTGTGAAGCCACAAACCAACCAATGACATTATAGCTTAGCTCACTGTGTGAACCCAGCCATTATTCCTTCTTATCGTAAGTGACTTGGGACCATATTACCAACAGCAGGGATGGGGAATCTATGATTTTCTGTGACAATTGAACTACAGCTCCAGGCAGTTTGAGGCAATATACTCAGCGCTGAAGAAAGCTGAGGGGTGTACTTCATCATCTTCTGGAAGAAGATCACAGATTCCCCATCCCCACTTAAAGTTCATACTAGCTGTTATGACTGGCCTCAGATCTTATTTCCTATATACTATTATTTAAAGTAAGGAGATGAACAGATGCAAAAGTCTATACAATTGTGGCACCCTGTTTGTGGAATGAACTCTTCTAGGAGAGGTTTGCCATCAGCTGGCTTTTCTTTTTCAGCGCAAGCTGAAAACTTTTTGTTCATCTATGGTGGACTTGTGAAAAAGCCAAGACATATTGGAACATGATATGTATTCTGATTCAAAAGATTTTGAAAATGGATTTGCAGTTGAAACCAGAGACCTTCCTTTTAGGTATGATGGATAAACAAATGGAAGGACAATACGGAAACTTGTTTCTCTATGTGATAACTGCAGCGAGACTTTTGTATGTGCAAAAATGGAAGGATTTACAAATACCTACAGCCGAAGTCAATCAGTTTACACTGATCTTCATTAAACATTTAAATACACTTAATATTCCCTGTGTATTAAGAGAGTTTCTCCTCCAGTCGCATTAAAAGTTACAGTTACTTTTGGAGGCCGAATCTGGTGGCTGAATCCAAGTTCAGAGAGTCACATATTCTGGAGCCGGCGAGCAAGGTTGTTCACTTAGAGCAATGTTTCTCAACCTTGGTAACTTGAAGATGTGTGGACTTCAACTCCCAGAATTGAAATTAATGGGATTAACAGAAAAAGAAGTTTTCAGCTTGCCCTGAAAAAGAAAAGCCAGCTAATGGCAAACCTCTCCTAGAATTGACTACTTTGCTTAAAGAAAAGACATTGTCTAGCTTTGTTTCTAACTGGAAACCACTCTTGGTCTTTTTGCTTGATACTCAAAAAAATGCAATTTTCATTTTGGGATTTGATGACTGATGTGTTTTATATCTTAGAAATATAATGTACAAATCATATGTATTGTTGAAGACTGGCTGGGGAATTCTGGGAGTTGAAGTCCACACCTCTTCAAGCTGCCAAGGTTGAAAAACACTGATTAAGAGGAAAGGAAAATAACAATAATTTTGTATTTTAACATGATCAACACCAGCATTTCTTGGTTCCTTTCTGCTTGCACAACTGCTGATTTGAAAGTTATTCTGATGGTGCCACTAGTATTAAATATGGACAAGGGAGGACTGGATTTGGACCTATGATCAACCATAAATTATTCTTAAGAAAGCTGTAATTCTCTGTATAAAATCTCTTACCTTTAAACCAGTTATTATGCTTCAGCTCTGGCACTCAGAGCAGTTACAGGTAAAAGCCAATAAGCATTAATAAATTATAGCAAGCAGTTAAAATGCAAAATGGTCAAAGTGCATATTACGTAGACTAGTCGAGTATGCTTTCCTTTTCAAGGAATGGAACCTTGATTTGAAGTAATGGGATACTAAAGTGTTCCAATTTTTTGAAAAATACTTATTCGATTTGATAGAAATCACTTTTTTCCTGAAAGAAGAATAATTTTTCATTTAAACTCTGTAGGTAGGCTTGTGAGAGTTATCCTACTTAAAAGGTGCTGTGGGATTGTGTAAATGTGCCATCAAGTCATTGTCGACTCTTAGCGATAGATGAGCTGTCCCTAACCTGGTCCTTCAGCTCTTCCATGGCACTTCCATCGCCACTGTAACTGAGTCTAACTGAGTCTATGCACCTTGCTGCTAGTCACCCTCTTCTTCTCTTTCCTTCCACCTTTCCCAACATTAGAGCCTTCTTCAGAGAGCTGGGTCTCCACATAATGTGTCCAAAGTAGAATAATTTGAGCCTGGTCATTTGTGCCTCAAGTGAGAACTCTGGGTTGGTTTGTTCAATGATCCATCGGTTTGTTTTCTTGGCTGTCCACTGTATTCTCAGGAGTATTCTCCAATACCAAAGTTCAAAAGCATCAATACAATCTTGCTTCTTCAAAGTCCAACTTTTGCTTCCATAGAATAGCCCTTATTTCATTGCCAAATCATCTCTATAGTGACTTCCTGTTCCTTGCAACCCTAGCAGAAACAGGATTTTTCTCCTCTCCCCTGTTTCTTTCTGAAAGAAACTTAGATTTAGGGTGAAGTCATCCAGGGTTTCTATTGTTTAAAATTTTACTAATTAAAAAAAATTACAATTGACAACAGAGATAGACTGCAAACTGTTATAAAAATAACCTAGGTGCTTTTTAAAAACAGTTTAAAAGTAACTAAAAAGACCCCTCCAATGAATAATTAAAAACAGAAAAAGAAATTAACCCCCTAGATTGGAAAAAATACTATAATAAAAAATATTTTTTATTTAGTTAAAAGTTAGAATTTCAAGTTTCTACTGCTTCAGTATCAAAATCTTAATTTTATGTTTATACAAATCATTACAATCCCATTTTTGAACTGCAAGTTAAATCTATACCATACAGAATCATGTTTAAAACATGTTTAATTAATTAAATGTTTACAACTTTAAAACAAAGATCATTCAAAGGCTGAGATTTGACAAATTTCATTATTTATTTATTTTTATTTATTTATTAAATTTATCCCCCGCCGATGTCCCCCTAATTATGCCTACTTTTAGAGTTTTGTACACAGACAGCCTTTCAGGAATATAGTTATCACCTTTTCAACAGTCCAGGGACCATAGAGCCAAATCTCTTCATGGAATTTTGGACGCTGCACCAGGACTAAACAGGCATTATAACTAATGGTTTAACTGGAGTATATAGCCATTCAGTTAAGTTTGATAAATATTTCTTTTGCAATATTTTAAAAGTTTTAAAAATATCATTAGTAATTGATTAAGAGTAATTATTCCATTTTCAATGAGATAAAATTTTTAAAAGATTTTTCTAGCCATTTTTAAATAGGGATCAGGCCAAATCATCAATTTTTCATGAAAACTAGACTCAAGATTCTGTTAATGTAACCTTACAATAAAGTGAGAGCTAGTAGCTTTGGGTGTGCTTCTTGTCCAGACTACCTTGCAAGGCTGACATCAGTCTTGCAGATCTGAAACTACACCTCTCCCTTGCCTTTATAGTCCAAGAAACTAGGGAGGGTCTCATCTGAGATGTTTGCCATGCCCCCATTCCTTCTACGGACTCAGCTGCCATTTGTCTGACCGTTGCCTAGTCTGTGGCTCTTCCTCCTGTCTTCCAAGGTCATTCCCACATATCCTTATATGCATACACATGCATGCACACACACACACACACACACACACACACACACACATCTTGTGGAAAACACAGCACATAATCCATGTGGACAAATTTGTAAGATGAGGGGAAACTAGAAATGTAGAAGGAGAAATGTACTGTAGAGGGAGGGAGGGAGGAACTGTTTTAAAAATAAACATGCTATTATACCTCTAAGATATGAATTGTGGTGAGAACCAATGATTCTCAGGTCAGACAGAATTGTGTAAGTATTGAGCTGGTGGCTCCCATTCTCAAGAGAATGGCATTTCCTTTGAATTGAAGAAACAAGCAGAAAAAGCATTTCAACCCTGGAACAGATACAGAGAGATTGATTTCTGTGTTGTGTATTAACCAGATTTGTGTGTGTGTGTGTGTGTGTGTGACTTCTTTCTCATCTGCAACAAAGCAACTAATCTTGCCATGTCATGTCTCTGAAGTGCCGAAAGCAAGTTTTCGAATATAGAATTGAGTATCTGGAGAGTCAAGATTAATGGCTGTGCCTGGTGTGAAGATTAACAATATCAAAAAAAGAACCTGTTCGTTTTTCAGAAATTACTGAAAACAGAACTATTTAGGAGAGCTGTGGAACTGAGAATGTCACTATCTATCTTTTGGTTGTATCTCTATTTTTTGGTCTGTTTTTGTTATTTTTAAGCTATTGTGCTACATGCCAGTTTATTTTTCATTTATTTTGACTTGATTGTTCTGGACTGTGAATGTTTTAGTGTAATTTTATGAGATTGTAACCTGCTAAAGCCTCTTGACTGCCTGGAAGAAACTAAACTAAAGCAAATTAATCAATAAATGGATATTTGTTAATTTAAAGAACGCTGACAGCTCTTGTGGGGCTGGGTGCAGACAGTAACTCAGTAACTGGCAATTTTGAAACAGAAAGAGAAAGTTTTGATTGGGTGGTATTCTCTGCATTTCAGCTATTGGTTGGCTTGGAGTGAACAATGATTGATTAAATGTGCCTTCTGTGAGCTGTAGAGTTACAAGCATATGGACGGCACCATGCTGAACACATTTTTGATCCGCAGATGGTGCGGACAAGTGTGGGGGAAATGCAGGTTACTTTTAAATGTGTTGGGAATAATTTGAAGGGGGATGGTATGGCAGAACTCAATTGTTTTGACTCTAGAGACTGTGAAGAAATGGGTTCAATTTGCATGCCTACCATAATTCACATATCCCCAACAAATATAAAACGTAATTATAGTTTGACATTTGCACTGTTCATAATTTGGGAATGCACTTTTCAATAAGAAGTATGTATGAAAATGTGTATATTGGAACATGTATCATAATAATGAATATGCATTCTATTAAAATTGCTTTCTGAAATGTATACATTAGATAACATAATATATAACAATATTATACTTTAATAAGTGTGAAGCCATGTTGATGAACCCACTGTATATTATTCTGTTGAAAATTAAACTCCTACAACTCTTAAATTTTATTTTCATGGTACAGAGATGATTGCTAACCACATTTTGCATCATAACACTATGTTTACCCCATAGGTTTGGCGATAAATTAAAATCACATCCTGTTTCTTCTTCCAGTTTACACATTTGAGCATGGGAACTACTAGCATTGATTAAAAGCATTATAACGGGTGCACAAGAAGTTATGCATTTTGTTTTTCCTTGAGTTAAGACAAAAGAATATCTTGGCACTGGTGAATTCTGTTCAGTTTTCTTCCTAGTAAAGTCTACAACTCTGGAATGCCCTAGAGTTCCTTCAGCCAAGTACTACCAAATCAGGCCCCACTTAGTGTTTTTGAGACCAAGCAAATTCACCTTCGACAATACAAATTCAGCTAGGTTCTGCCCTCTGCTGTAACAATACCACACCTATCTATTTTAACTCTTCTAGCAGAAGCATTTAAAGACGTATAAATACAAAAGTAAGTAAGGGTCCGTGAACATTTTAATCACTCCACATTTGGAAGTCAACTGACATGAGTTGAACCTCCCAAACCAAACCCTTCCAATTTAATATTTCTCCAAATGTTATACTATAGCTTTCAGTTCAAACAAACAAACTTGGATAGTTTACAGCAAAATGTATATTTTATGATAAAATGCATATAAAATGGGTATATTTTTCTACTTTTTTTTCAAAAACATACAGATTAAGGCAGAAATAGTATAAATTTATGAATGAGCACATGTGAAAGAGACATGGACAGAAAAGAATTAGCACTGCTGCCATTTAATGTACAAAACATTTACAACATGTTCTGCCCTCCGTCCTGCAAAGACATGCATTTCTCTCTGACAGATCAATCTTAAACATGTTAGTCAAAGAAGGGAGTCCCATATGAGACCATAGCCCTACTTTGTTGTTGTTGTTGAGCTAGATCCTAACCACTGCAACTGTGTAGAGAACAGTAGTTTTCTCCCAACTGATGTGATGGCACTGAAGTGTTAGAAATTAACACTTAAGTTACTAACACTTAGTTACTAACACTTGCTGAAGTGTCAGTAACAGTAACTGAAAGTGAGGTGTCATTGTGGTTGAAAAAAATCCTGTTAAAAAACTGTATTCCAAATGTATAAGATCAAAGTCAGGAGGAATGTCAATGGTGATTCAGCCCAGCACCCTGGTGTGCAGGAAACCCATTATAACAGCATTGAAAAATCTTGTATCATACCAAATGCACCCAAACCTTTGAGAAATAGATTTGTCTTTCATAAAATATAGGCTGAAAAGCATTGAAAATTCTCTTTAACCCAGAAATGCTCATCAAAATGTACCACGACTATAACAAATGTTTGGTATTATTTCAAAATCTACAAATAATGTGTTTCTACCTAAGCTTGACTTAGAAATTGAGTATGTATGCAGATGTAACTGCATCAGCTTTATTGGTTGCACCTAAGTCCATCTGCATTGCAGATGAGGATAATACCAAGAGCAGCAGAGAGTACATTTGTAAAACAATCAAAGAGTAAGCAAGAATCAGGGCAAGCTTCCCTGTGTCTTTGATCTCTGGTGAACTTTCCATATGGTGGCAAAACTCCAAAGTGGAAGCAGCCATGCAAAGCTACTCTAAGTGTGATAGGAAATACAAGCTTGTACAGAAGGTTCCCCAAAGTCAACATTTCAAAGTAAAGATGGCTCAGTATGTCCTGACCTCCTGCTGTACCACCTTCAAGAGGATCTGAAGCTTCAGTGTAAAATAATCTGCAGAAAAAAGGTAAAGAATATGAATATGAGTTGGTTGGCTGAAGCAGTCTATAGAATCACAAAGAAATAAAGAAAATATAAAATATAAAATAAATTATAAAGGTAAGAACAGCTCCACTGTGTTGATTGAACAGCAGTAGCTGTTCTACTGGTTTCAAGGATCTTCTCCATCATTCTGTGGGACATATGATCAGATGCCCTTATTGGATAATCAGCTATGGTGTAAAGTCAGACTCTGAGCAGTAATGTTTCCCTAATTAAGGCTCATATGTTCAAGTTTGGATTCAAAAATCCAAGACAGATTTTTAGTATGGAACCTCATATATTTCATTTTCAGAAAGAATTCTTGGGTGACTATAATAAATTTAATTAAATAAATAAAAGAGAAACTGTTGGCAGAATGTTTTGGAGACAATTCCATTTGAACTATAAGAAGTCCAATAACATGATTTAGGGGCCAGACCACCCCAAGAACTACACTGTAGTTTCATTATATGTGTTTGCCTGGATACCATAAGTATCCCAACCTTGATAACACCAGATCTGTGACCTTCAACTTCCAGAATACTCAGCAATAGCCATGTTGGCTGGGGAATTCTGGGAATCCCAACTGAGTTCCCACAAGTAAGGGTAGTTCTTGGGCTGGGCTGGTCTTTATGTAATGTAATTATCATTATATAATTATAGTGCAATTATAATGTAAAAATGCTCATTATTGTTTGCATAGGATTAACTTTAAAAGTTCTGTTCAAAGTTAATCACACAAGATGAAGAACTTTTTTTTAAAAAAATGCTTGCATATAGTCTTGTGCTGTATAGATCAATGTTTCTCAACCTTGGCAACTTTCAGATGTGTGACTTCAACTCCAGGAATTCCCTTGCTGTTGGGGAATTCCTGGAGTTGAAGTCCACACATCTGAAGGCTGCCAAGGTTGAGGAACACTGGTATAGATGAACTTCGTAATATACATCCTAGGGATCTAATACAGGCCACTAGTAGGTACAGCAAATGTATGCAAAAACCTCTTAGTAGAAGGTGACATATTTCTCTAGCATCCTGACCCATTTGGCCAAGCTTCTTAGAGATACCAGAAGTTGAAGCTGAGCAACATTGGGGATGTTGCTCCTGCCTCAGCTTATAGCATTCCTGCTAGGCTGTGATTTTAAGGATGCCATAATCCAAAATGATCCACTCTCCACTCACAGAAAATTGTACGGCAACAGTTTGGCATTGACTGTTTGATGAACAAATAGTAAACTGGAAGACCACTTAAAACGATGGCACATCCAATGCTGATATTAACTGGGTCTGAGTAGAAAGACATTCCCACTGTGAAAAGGCAGATGATAGTAAAGGAAATAGGAATGAAAAGAGGAACCTGGAGAAAGAGAAAAAAGATATGTTATCAGATAAAGATGTTTTATAGGAGGTCTTTGTCACATTGTAATTAAAATCTCCATCGTATCTGGGAACCTGTAATGATCTGTGGGAGTGTCCTTGAGAGACAGAAGGAGGAGCAGCAGCAGACTAGGCAATGGTCAAATAAGAAGCAGCTGAGCCCACAGAAACATTGGGGGCATGGCAAATGTCTCAGAAGGGACCCTCCCTATTTTCTTGGACTGTACAGGCAAGGGGGGGGAGATCTACTTTCAGACTTGCAAGATTCTGTTACTGTAACCTTACAATAAAGGTAGTGTTAGTTCTCTTGGTTGGTGCTTCCTGTTTGGACTACCTCTAAGATTCTCTTTGGACAGATCCTCCTAGGGAATTATCATCCTGACATGATGGCAGAGCTGAATAGCTTCTGTGAACCTGAGAGTGATGCTAGCAAGAGTGTGAACTTCTGGTAGGATCGCCCTGGCTGGTAAAGTCCAAAGGCGGGGATGCAGGGGGGAGAGAGAAGCTAAGGATAATTCACTGTAAGAATGAGGACAGTAGGACTCTGCAGGAGTGAGGGTAGTCAAATTGCCTCGGAAAAATTAAAATTGGGTAGCACCTTTTCTGACTAACAAATTATATTAAAAGGTATAAGATTTTATGAGCTGCAGTTTATGAACGCTTGTGCCACACACAAATGTGCACCTTTTAATAACATTTGTGAATCAGAAAACTTGCTACCAGATCGAAAACCAAGCCAGGAAAAGGCAACGGCCACTCCCTTCTGCTAAGCAAGCTTTATGGATGTGGCTGAAGCCTATAGCCAAATCTAGATAAACCCAAAGGTACTCCTCTGGTTAATGGGGAAGACCATTGCATTTTCAGAAGTGCAACTGCGGGGCAAGACTGGGCTATTGTGGCCTTTCGAGATGATTAGGATAATTTACTCAACTACAGCTACAAGGGAGCAGCGATTATCAATCTGTCATAATCCCAGCTATTCTTCCTAGCTCTGTAGTTAAATCTGAGAGTGGCATAAGGATCACTCCAATTTAATGTTTTTTTTTCCTTTTTTGAAATGTTTGCAACTACAAAAAAAACAAAAAAGAACTTTTCACCATTTCCACTATGCTTTTGAGAGTTGCAAAGACTTTGGCATACTAAAAGTATGAATTTCTGAATTACTAAAAAAAGGAGGGCAGTACAAACTAACTTCAGGACTTCTTGAAGGCAGAGTAAAAGTTAAATACTCCAATACAAACAGACAATGGATTTGCGTTAGTCCTTATAAATACATTTGTATCCTATCCTTCCTTCAAAGACTCAGGATGCCACACACGGTTCTGTCACTTAATCTTCACAATTTTATTAAGATAGGTAAGAACTTACGGTGTGGTTGATCTCCTTGCCCACTTAATGACCGGGGTATCTCTGGCCCTTGTCCAGCACTGTTTGTACAGTGCGTTCGGAAAGTATTCAGACCCCCTTCACTTTTTTCAATTTTGTTATGTTGCAGCCTAATACTACAATCGTTCAAATTCTTTTTTTTCTCATTAATCTACACTCATTATCCCATAATGACAGAGTGAAAACAGAATTTTAGAAATGTCTGTAAATGTATGAAAAAGAAAAAACTGAAATATCACATTGGCATAAGTATTCAGACCCTTTGCAACAATACTTGAAATTTAGCTCAGGTGCCTCCCATTTCATTTTTTTCTTTTTAATAAATTTACAGACATTTCTAAAATTCTGTTTTTACTTCGTCATTATGGGATACTGAGTGTAGATTAATGAGAAAAAAATGAATTTGAACAATTGTAGTATCAGGCTGCAACATAACAAAATTGAAAAAAGTGAAGGGAGTCTGAATACTTTCCGAATGCACTATATATTGGCTCCAATTAACTTGCCAATATTAAATTATTGGTTGATAATCATTCTTTCTTTTGTTTCCACCCGATTTGTTATTCTGCCATCTCTACCCTTTTTTGTTTCTTGTTGCTTTTATTGTCATATTTTTCATGTTTTAAATCATTTGTAAACTGCCCAGAGTCATTGGGAGTTGGGTGGCATATAAATTTAAGAAATAATAATAATGCCACTTTACCAAATATATTTTGGGAGGAATTAGATCAAAGAAGTCCTGATTCCCCACTCCAAAG